GGAATGCTATGCTCTGATGACTTTCTCCTTGCTATACATCTAGGATCTCAGCCAGGGAATGGTGCCACCCACAGTGGACAGATTATTCTACAACAGTTAATAATCAAGATAATGCCCCACATGCATGCTCAAATACGGGTCTCCCCGGTGATGCTAGAGCTCATTAAACGAGAGTTGAGGTTCACTATTACAATGGCATACCCTTCATGGCCTGATGACCTAACGACTTTTCCAAGGCCCTAAATTTAAAAGCCCTACCATCTCCCAACAGCACCACTCTGGGGACTAAGCCCTTAAATACATGGGCCTTTGTGGGATGCTCAACATCCAAACTATATCACACATGTAAGAATCAAAGTCAGAGCCATGGTCATGAAGTTTTATACCAATATCGTCTTCCTATGAATTTTATAGTTTTTGCTCATATATTTAGAGCTCTGATGTGTTTTGAGTTAATTTCTGTATGGAATGTGAAATTGAAGTCATACTTTTTATTTTACATATGCAAATACAGTTGCTCCAGAAACTTCAGTTGAAGTTTATTTTTTCCTGTTGAATAGTAGTTGCCTGACACCCTTCTCAAAGATTGGTTGGTCTTGAATGTGTGGATTTATTTATGGATTCTTAATTCTATTCCTATGGTGTCAATCTTTCTCCTCTGATAGTATCATATTGTTTTGATTACTACAGCTTTGTAGTAAGCTTAGGAATCTGGAAGTGTGAGTTTTCCTTTTTGTGGGGGAGGAGAAATCTTGGTATTTGTGGTCCCTGTACTTTTATGTAAATTTGAAGACTTGTTTTTCTATTTCTGCCAAAGATGCTGATGTCATAATGTGTTGGTTCTGTAGAATCACTTGTATATTCACATCTTAATATTGTATTTTTATCCTTGAACATAGTATGTCTTTTCATTCAGAGATTGAATTTCTTTCAACAATGCTTTGTGACTTAGGAGGTATAAGACTTTTATCCCCTTAAATACATAGTCATAGGACTGTACTCACTTAGATCTTACTGCAAACGGAGCTGATTCATTAATTTCCCTTTTAGATTGCTCATGGCTGGGGTACAGAAACACAACTGATTTTTGTGTGTGGGTCTCCTACCTTATAATTTGTTTGGACTTATTAGATCTCACAGCTTACATGTATATTTTGTTGGATTTTCTATATATAGGATAATGTCATCTGCAAATTGACATCATTTTGTGCCTTTCTTTTTAATTGTGATGCCTTTATTTTCTGTTCATGTCTAATTGCTCTTTTTGGTGCAATGTTGACTTGAAATGGTGAATGCAGATTTCCTTGTTGCAGCTCTGATCTTGGGGAAAAAAAACTGGTCTTTCAACATTGAGTATGAGATTAGCTGTAGCCTTTTCATAAATGCCCAATCCAATGTTGAAGGCATTAAGGGAAGGAGAGTTTGGAACAGTGCTTGTAGAAGTAACTCGAGCCTTAGGAAGATGTTACTCTCTCTGGAGAGGCCTTCCTAATGCTTTTGTCAGCTCTTAGAAGGTTGTGTAATATGGGATTGCCTTGCTGGAGGTCGTGTTTGAGCTTTCTGGGCAGTTTTACTCCGATGGCACAGCCATTTGGGGTTCCATAGCAAAGCAGGGAACTGGATTACCTGGTCTTCAGCTCTAGAAACCTCTGAACGCAAACTAATCATTTTAATCCTGTCTTCACCCACCTTGCTGGTTTCTTCCCCTCTTGGATCTTGGCATGATGTCCTTTCGTTTTCTCCATAATTCTTTCATAGATTTAAGAAAACACTCCAAAACATTTTATCTCGTTCTAAGTCACCTTGAGCTGATGTTGCTAGTTTTCCATTCCCAGAAGAGGGTGTCCCTTGGACCACTGCTTGTTGAGGGTAGAGGCTCTGAGTACCAGTTTCTTCTTGTTTAGAGAGGACACGAAAGGACACATTAATTTCTTATTTATCTATAGAAAGGTACATGCCGAAAGGAGCAAGAATGGAATGAATTGCATGGCAGGGTGAGACATTTGGTCAACGTTACTCAGTTTCTCACGGCAAAAGAGGTGAGCAACTTGCCTTTCACCAAGAAATTTAGCTATCTGTTTTGTTTTGCTCAAAAAATAATGGTTTAATCACTTAGTCTCATCTGATCCAAGGAGAAAAAGAAGTTGTCTTAAGTTGGTCCTGGAGGCTGCCCAAACTGCTATAACAGCATGGTGTGTTTTATAGGAGACAAATGCTGAGGATCAAAGGGGTCGGTGAGTTGTTAGGATCAGAGCAAGAGGGTAGGCTCACGGTAGTGCCATCTTCTCCCTCTTCCCTCTCCTCTTCTCCCCCCTCTCTTTCCGTCCCTCCCTTCCTTCTTTCTTCATGGCTTCAAGCCCACGAAATCAGCTCAGTTTAATTATAACTCCAGATTCTAAGATAACTGCAGCCACCATAGTCAACAGCATAGAATTCTAAAATTCTGCGAAACAATGTCCAATGAAATTATAGACTGGGCTCGTCCGCGATGTTACCACAGACCAAACCAGAACAGCGTCACTCATGCTGAAATGCCCAACTGAAGCTGAGTTCTTCTTCTGTCTTCCTGAGACATGTCTAACACTTGAGTTTCTGTGGCCTGATAATGGCATCCCCTCTACTTTAATCTTCACCAGGAAAGGCATTTGGAAACCACCAACCTTTTGGTTGGTTGCTATTTTTCTGCATCCCTTTTCATTTTTTCCATATTATTGGTGCTGTAGAGGAGAGTTCTCTGCACTTCTGACTTGGAGGGCTACCTGACTCACAAAGTGTTTGTTGTCAAATTATTTTGTTCCAAGCTCTTTTTTTTTTTTTAAACCAGTGGGACTAATTTTTAGGACAGCAAAGTAAGCTTAATTTTGGGATCAATCTCTTGGCTCTCTCCATGTCAAAGTTTGCAGTGGAGGTAGGTATTTGTAATTCATCTCACTCACGCCTCCTGCTTCTCGGAACTGTCGGCATGCCACTCATAAATGGAAAAACGTCTACATTTACTTCGGAAGCAATTTAATTAATAAATGAGAGTTTCCTAGAGACAGACCCCTAGCACTTCATCGTGTTCAAACCATCTCCCACAGCTCCTCAACCTCTCTATGTCTGCAGGTCTCCACTTTAACCCAATCTACTACCACCCCTGCTTCCCCCTTACACCACACACACACACACACACACACACACACACACACACACACACACACACACACACACACACGCTTACCAAGCTGATAGCAATAGCCTCTGGACCACAGTGTGACCAGAAAGCTCCTTCCCGTCGTGGGGTGGCAGGTGTAGCAGAATTTTCTATCCCACTGAACCCAGATGCAACTGACTTTGGAGCAATTATTGGTGTGCTGACAAAGTCCCCAGGAGATCAAAAGTCCCCCGGGGGGCTTGTCTGCTTTTGCTTGTCTCAAGTCTTCTCTCTGGCAAACAGTAGGGGTTTAACATAATTTTGACTAGTATACAATGTGGATAAGCTAAATAATTTGCTCATTTGTTATGCTATTTCTCTTTTGATGTGTCAGGGGCAAGGCGTCCGCTTGTTTTGTTCAGTGAGGCACCTTCCCCTAAGAGCCTTAAATGGATGGCTTCTGCTTAGACCCCTAGTCTGAACCGGTTTTCTGAAGAATGCATGAATGGGTGAGGGAGATGAGGGCTGTCCAGTATCACACTTTGAGATTGTTTCAAGCGGACAAAAACGCCGCCTTGAGAACTTCTAGACGGAAAATACCTCCAGGAAATTGGAATTAGTACTAGGGTGCTCCAAACACCTGGCCAGGGGCTTATTCATTTTACAGAGAACTGGGAGAGATGGCAGCAGTTGGTCACAGGCCAATATTTTGAGGTCAGCCACTTTATCCTGGGATTCCTATCCTCTCTCTTCATCCCTTGGCCATCCAGTTAAATTGGAAAATAAATCCCATCCCTGGTAAGGTGTTGGCTGATAAAGGCTTGAGCTATTGCCCCTTCAAGGGGAATTTGCATTTTAATAGAGGCTCGTCAAGCCCCAAAGGAATCAATATCTCTAACGCTGAAATTTCAAGCACCAGCAATTGAGATATTTTCAGGACACTGTTCAGTATTTCAAATCCAGCGGCGCGGGCGTGGGGTGGGGGTGGGGGCGGGGCTCCATAAGTCCCGCCAAGAGGCCATGGAAGACTGGCCTTTGCCTTTTATCTTTTTCAACTTTGCTTCTTATTTTTCGGTCAAGCCTTCATACTTCCAACACTTTAGGGCCCTTTCAACGTTAATAGGTTTAAAGCTGTCTCATCAACAGGGCCACAAAGCCATTACGACGACCGAATTTCCAGATTTCCTTGCAATTCCAAGGAAACCAGTCGTTATTAAAACTGTTGGCAAGAGGGAGTATAGGCGATTTATTAGGTTGTTACTATGTCCATATTTACATTCGTTTTGCATATTGTTTTAAAGCTCAAACTTGGGACTTATTTTATAAAAAGCCCCGCGAAGGAAAGGCGAAGGAAAGAAGGTAACTGCATGCCCAGAGTGTCCTAGGTGGCTGCTAGGGGAGATTCTAGAACTGCAGGAAAGCGCCTAGGCTTATCTTAGTCTCTGCTCTGCAGAGGGGCTGGAGGCCACCACGCCTGGGGTTCAGAGCAGCAAAGGCACATCCCAGGGCTCCTGGCCCTCAACGCCATAGGTCCCACAGCCCGGCTCCCACGCCGCAGCCAAAGGCTCCCCGCCGAGCCCGCCGGCTCCCTTGCCCTTGTGAAGACGCTGCCGTCCGCTCTCTCCTCGGGATCCTCCACCGACCGGGAGGAGGCGCCAGCGCGGAGGACACACCTGCGACTTCTCCCGCTCCGGGCTCCCCGCCTGGTCCCCGCTCCGGCTCCCGCTCCCTCCCGGGCCCAGCGCGCAGCGGCTGGGCTCGCTCCCGAAGCCCGCGGCGGCTCGCACCCGGCACGGAGGCTCGCGCCCGCGCTCGGCCGAGGGAGCGCGCGGGCGGGCGGGCGAGCGGGCGAGCCGGAGAGGGCGCCGCGCGGCCGGCGGGCCCTGCGCAGTGGCGGTGGTATGGGCGCGGGCACCGGCGCGGGCTGCGGGAGCCCGGCTTTCTGCCCGGGCCGGGCCGCTGGCGGTGACCGCGCGTCGCAGCCTCTGCTGTCCGCGGGGAGGCGGTCCCCGCAACCGGCGCAACTTGCCTCGGCGCCTCTGTGAGGAGCGCAGCGCGGAGAGAGCTTGCGGGGCGCGATGCCTCCGGCCGGCGGCCCCCGCACACCGCGCCCGCACGCGCTGCCCCGCAGCCTGTCCCGCTTGCGCGAGTGCCCGGGCCGTTCCCGCATCGTGCTGGCTCTCGGGGCCACGCAGATGGCGCTCGGATGCCTCATCGTGGCCGTGAGCTTCGCGGCGCTGGCGCTCACCACCTCGGCCCGCGTGCGCCACTCCTGCCCTTTCTGGGCCGGCTTCTCGGTGAGTGTCTGCGGCGGTGGCGCGGGCCGGGACCGGGAGCTGCAGTGGCGGGGACGCGGCCCGCGCCGAGTGGGGGCGCGGACGCCCGGGTCTGGCAGCTGCGGCTCGGGTGCAGTTTCCAAGTCCGGGCAGGGGAACTCCGGGGACCGTCGCGAGTCGCGCTGCCGCTCCAACGCGCTGCGCCCGGAGTTACTTTTCCGAGGGGAAAGGGACCAGGAGCCCTCCCCTCGCCACCTGGTGGGGAGCGGTAGGTGGCGGGTCTCCTCCTGGGGCAGCTGCCGGGAGCTCCGCTAGTCAGTGACCGACCCGGGCAGCTGGCGACAGTGACCGTGGTGGCGCGGCGCGGGGGCGCCCGAGCCCGGTGCAGAGCCGGTTGTGAGCGGCTCCCCGCGCTGCGGTCCTCGCCGGGGGCGCGCGGTGCTTCGCGTTCGGTTGCGGGTCAGTCCGGGGGAGACCGTCTGGTCCCTCTCTGGTCACTCACCTCCCTGGAGCGGGGACGTCTTGTTTCTCTTGTAAGCCCGGAATGGCCCTGTTGGACCAGCTGGCGACCGGGAGCCAGGAGTGTGCTTTTTGAACTCCAGACTGATTTTCAAATTCTTGACCCTCAAATCTTCCTTCAGGAAACATTTATTCAAGAAGCCATCGGTCTGAGATGATTTATTTATTTATTTAGGTATTTTGTGGCGTTTTGATGAAAGTTGCTTATTTTCTATATTAATAAAGAACGGGCATATGGGAATTAGGAGATAAATGCTGCACGGGTGTTTATAAAGACCGGCACTTGTTTCGAGAACTCTTGACATCTGTAACTACGTTTGGTCGCTGGTGCACAAATACATTACAGGCTTCCAGTGAACACTGTGCGTTTAAATTCCGCGTACACAGACAGACCCAAACCAAGCCTTTGAAATTAATGATCGCAGTTTGTTCTTAACTTTTGTAATAATAATTTAAAAAAAAGCTCGATCTTGATTTTATTTATTTATTTAGTTTGTAATGGCCTTTGTTCTTGCAAGTTCCTTGTCTGGTTTAAAATGAGATCCTAGCAAAATTACCCTTGAAACAAGGATCGATACAGGTGTGGCTGTTCATCCTAATGGGGGTATTAATTTTCAAAGCTTCTTTCAGGCGGGGTGGGGTGGGGCGGGGAGGGCTCATCTTGGATGACAGAACGGTGTGGTCACAGCTCCCAGTGTTCAGATCGATGAGAGGAGGTGGGAGGCAGCCTCTAGGGAGCCGTGGTCCAAACCCGCCCCTATATATAGTCTCCACACATCTGTTGCTCGGTTTTTAGCATTACTTAATATGCATTGTTTTCGTGTCTGTCTAGTGGGTACTGCGTTTCAGCCTGCTGGAACCAGCCTACAGGTGGCAGACTGGTGAATTAGGCTTCCTGGCTCTTTCCTGAGCCTCCCCCACCTTCTCTGAGTCTGAGCTCGATTTCCCCAGGGTTTGCCAAGAGAACTGCCTTTTTATAATAAGCCTTAAAAAGAAGACATTAATTGGAGACAGCAGAAAAGCATTTATGTTAAAACACACATTCCCTATATTTTGTTTCAGGAGTTGAGTTAAACATGTAAAACAATAATGCAGTTTGTGTTTCAAAGGCTGTACTGTTCAACAGCTCTAAGTGGTTGGTTCTAGTTTTCCCCAGTTCTGAGTCATATCCTGGTGTTTGTTAGGCTGAGTGCTCGAATTTCTCCGGGCTTTGGAGAACAGCACTGAAGCCACCACAAAATGTTCACAGGTTTTACCTCCTACCCTCTGTCCTTGAGTCTGTATCTTCATACTTAGTCAGCTGCAAGTGTTTTTAAAATTCTTCTTATTTTTCCTGTGCAGGGGATGGAACATCCCCATACACAGGTGACAAGTGCCCTGCCACTGAGCTGCATCTCCAGTCCTTAAATTCTTTCAATGCAGTGGATAGTGATTTTCACATGTTGTCTCTACCCTGCAGAAAGAATGGTTTGTTCCAGTTGGGACAGGCTTGCCTGTTGATGTGGTTGTGAGTAGGTAACACGGGTTCTTTGCCTTCCTTATACATCCTGCCCTTGGTATCAGCAGCTTCTGTTGCCATGGATTCAATCAACCAAGGAATGAAAATATTCAGAAAAACTCTTAATTTCTACAGAAATATGTAGATTTCCCTGTCCTTATTACACAAACAAAACATAGTAACCATTTACATGGTATTTATATTGCATTAGTCATTATAGGCAACCTGGAGATGATTTGAAAGCACGCAGGAAGACATGTGTGGGTTATATGCAAATTATATTACATATAAGGGATTTGAACATCCAACCATGGGGGCTGGAGATTCCTGAGATCAATCCCTTATGGATAATGAATATATTTGCCCTACTCCCTTGAAAGGTCCACTTATAGACAGGTGACCGAGATGGCTGGCTTTTATGGAAACCCACACTGGGCTTTGTGCTGGACTCTACTCTGTGAACCTTCTGAAAGGAATTCCTCATCGCTGTCTCAAGCTTTTTGATCATCTGTGATTTGGAATGACGAAGAATCATCATATCAGCAGTTCTTCTATTTAGGAAAAAGTAATACTAAGAAAAACAGTTCTGACTTTATTGAGTACACACTGTGGACCAGACCTGATGATCCCTTTTGCATGGGTCATAGGCCATTTCACTGGTGGCCTCCTGGACTGTTCTCATGTGCTCAGGGTCTTGGACAGTTCCCTCCCTTGGAATTTCCACGAGGTGCCTCACTTGTCTTAGCCAGGGCAATGCCACACAATCAAGCCAGCCTCTCTTCAGGGCCTGCTCCTCATACGGTCCCGGCAACCTGTGGTGAGGGACCTGAGAGGAGTAAAGAAGAAATAAGTCACTGTCCCAAGGTCACTGAGCCAAGAAGTGGCTTTGAACTTAGTCGCTCACTTTAGAAACACCAAGTCCAGCGAGTTCCAGGACAGCCAAGGCTGCACGAAGAAACTCTGTCTCGAAACAAAACAAAACAAAACGAACAGTAAAAAAACACCAGGTGCCTGACTGAAGATGACAGGTAACTGTCCACGGGGCAGAGGATGGAGGAGAGTCGGTTGGTGGAGGAATCCACCTTGGCAAGGCGGTCACACCCTGTGTTTCTTAGGAAAACCCTAACCATGCCTGAAAGGTAAAGGTTCAAGAGGAACTTGAAGATACATTACACTGGGAAAACTTAAAAGTCAATGTATATATGTCTGTCTGTCTATCTACCCATCCATCCATCCATCCATCCATCCATCCATCCATCCATCCATCATCCATCCATCCATCCATCCACCCACCCACTCTCCCATCCATCCATCCATCCATCCATCCATCCATCCATCCATCCATCCATCCATCCACCCACCCACTCTCCCATCCTCCTATCCATCCATCCATCCATCCATCCATCCATTTATCTATCTATGTGTTTGTGTATGTGTATATGTGTGTGTGAGATGTGTATATGTGTGAGTGTTCATATGTGTATGTATGTATGTGTGTATATTATATGTTTTGTGTGTGTCTGTGTCACTATATGATAAGTGTGTATATTTATATGTATGCATCTCTGTGTGTATGTGTGTAGGTACATGTATATGTGTGAATATATGTGTGTGCATGTGTATATGTATGTGTGTGTGCATGTGTATATATGTCTCTGTGTGTACATGTATGTGACTGTGTGTCAATGTATATATATATATATGTATGTATATATATATATATATGTCTGTGTATGTATATGTGTCTGTGTGTGGGTGTGTCTATGTGTTCGGGTGTGTACACACAGGATGACCACGTGGAGGTTTCTGTCCCTGACCCCCTGGCCCATTGCTTTCAGGTCCGTGGCAAGGACCACCCTGTGGTAGGAACGCATATCCTGCTTACTTTGAACCAGAAAGCAGAAAGAAGAAGGAAGAGGAAGGGGCTGAGACCCACCGTCCCTTCCAGGTCACTTGGGACCTCCCACTAGGCTCCACCTCCTTCCCGCAGAGCCTTGCAGGACAAAGTCTTCACCATGTGGGCCTTCAGAGGACATTCTAGAGCTAAACTATAGCAGGGCAGCTTGGCAAAGCCGGAGGCGGATGAGGCGGGCCAGCTGCGGCCAGAGGTCGGTGATGAACAACGAGCCACGTGGTACTCTGCTTCTGAGGACCACCCTCGGATGGTTCCCTGTGCCAGGCTGCGCATGGGTCGCCTCCCTCACGTGTGAACCTCCGGCGCAGTGAGTGGTGATTGGCAGAGCACAGAGCTGGGTGGGGTCTTGACCTGGTACCCTTCAGTGGCGCTGCTTCATTATTTTCTTTCTAATTTTGTCAACGCCCGGGACCCCGAGTAAGTGCATTTGAAATCACCTGCACGGCAGCTGCTGGCAAAGAAGCGAAATCTTTGTGTTCCCTTTAAGAGCGATGCCGCTAGACTTCTAAAAATATTCCTTAAGCAGTATGTAACTGTTGCCATAACTAAAATCCAGGAAACGCACAAATGTACACCCTCTCCTCCATCAGTGCTCTGCTGGTAGGAAACCGACGTGACCAGTGGTGTTTAACGTCCCTCCACGAGTTTCACAGTCACAAGTATATCAGAGTCCTCACATGTGACATGCCTCTTTTTCTTTTAAAGACTGTAAAAATGTGATTCTACCTCCCACGTTTTACTCCGTGGCTCCCTTTAAAATGTGATGCGTGGTGAATGGTCCTGGGGCTAATTGCGAACCCATTCCTTCAGTGGCTGTGTAAGAGTCCACACTGCAGGTTAGCACGGTTTATTCAGGTTCTCTGCTGCTGGGAACTTCCTGGTGACACAGATTCCATGTGTCTGATGCTGTTTATCTTAGATGGCAGTGCCTGCTTCTGAGAGTGACTTCCTAGGGTGGAACTGTTACTAGTCAAAGGGTGTTCCAGTTGGAATCTTGTGTTATTAGATTAGTTGAGGAGAAAGGTTATAATCATTCTCACCCCTGAGCCCTGCATAAGGATTTGATTTCCCCCACCCTTGAGACGTGGG